GGAAACAGATCCGAAACGTCGTGTTTTTCTTAGTTATCTTAAAACCAGGACGATGGATAAAGTCCGAAAACCCAATATTTCTGTGTGTTATACACCATCGTCAGAATTCTATAGTAACTACTCCTACGGATGTGTTTGAAAATCACTTTAATCCAATTTTTCCTTATCTTGTCTGATATTTCCCCTTGACTCTGTTATTTTCAGATTTCATATCAACACTTCTCATTTGGGCTGTGCAATTTGGTATCGCTATAAAGAATGTTAAACTACCCCAGTGTGTGAGGTCCGGTTGAATCCCACCTTCTATAATATGGAGTAGTTCTCGAATCTTTATTTCTCTCTGAACCCTTATTTTTAAACGGTGCTCCTTGTGGAAACGTAATGCAGTTCCAGTTTGTGAAATTGACTGCAGCACTGTACTCTGTTTCATCATTCCACATTAAGAGGCAGTAATGCCGATCTTGCCCTACAAGTTCGTGAATCCGGTGAATAATGCTTGTGGGTGCTGCCTTTAATCAACGCCAATCACCGTGGCCGCGTGGTCTAAGGCATGAAGAGATTTCGCCCGCTCGAACACTGGTATCGTGGGTTCGAATCCCAGTCGAGGCACGGACGTCTGCGTGTTTTTCTGTCTTTGTGTTGTTCTGCCTTTAGTTAGTGGCCTTGCGACTGGCTGATCCCCCGCCCAGGGAGTCCTATCGATTGTGTATAGATTAAGTAACTGAAAAAGCGGTCAAGATCCAAATGGCTGTACAGCCATAGAGAGAGAGAGATTTTAAGCAATAAATAATACAAGATTTAGCTGGCCTGCGATGGGACGGCGTTCAGAGAAGATTTCGGAAACAATATTCATTTGGTTCGAAAGGTGAAAAGCATTTTTTCTAATATGAATGTTTGTGTTAGGAACGCTCCGTATTGCTTGAACTGGTCCTTACAATGCCAGCTCTCGATCACTTTTGCTTACGTACGTGCTCTACATAGAGAAGCTGCAGGCCCTGCTGGGCAGGAGAGACGAAAGTCTGGGAGAGACTCTCGCAAATATTGCGTCATTCTTGGTGCTCACATGCCGGTTAGTGACGTCTTTGACGCACGTAATAAACGTATCAGCAGTGGGCAAGATCGAAAGAGTTACTCAACCCGGACGTAAGGTTCCATTTGTAAACAGAGCGACTGCTTTTCCCCACAATACCACACTTCTCAGGAAATCATTTAGTTTTATTGCAATGCTTGTCAGGAATTATTTATGAATCAAATACAAATCTGGCACGTTGTTTGCTTTAAAATACAGCATCTTAATTCCACGAGGTAGATTCCTTAAACTGTTGATAGTCACGCAGAGAATCAAGAAAACCCCCTCCTTTATGGAATCAGAAAGAAAAGACAAAATGATTCGTAATTAAATTTACTTAAAGAATTATACATAACAAAGAAAAAATATTTATTAGCATGTCCACAAGAGCGCGCCACTTGGCTCTGTCCTACACCACTTGAGTCCAGTCCACATTGTCAAAAATTATTTCTTTATAGTCAAGTTTACTGATAGTCCAACTAAGTGTCCAAATTAATGTTTTCTTTTAATATTTTTTGACTGAATCTTTAAATGAACTATTCACCTCCACCTGTCCCATATATCACATTCTTATCCCCTTACTCATCTCCTATTCCTTCATTTGATCGCCCTGACAAGATCGGTTGAAGAGACGGCCTACAAATTATGATGCTTCCATTTAAACAGTTTTCTTTTACTGCTAGTGATGTGGGACTAAGTCCCTTGTACTGCCGCCACTTCTGGCCTATTGTACCAGCCCCAGATGATAGGTGAGGGTGATTGTGGAGCAATTGGTGGAATAAATTTTGGCAGGGGAAACCGAAGTACTCGGAGAAAACCTGCCCCAGCGCCACTTTGTCCACCACAAATCCCACTTCACCAGACCCCGGGATCGAACCCGGGCCGCCATGGTGGGAAGCCAGCGACTAACCGCTTGAGCTATGGCTTGACCTATTTAAACAGTTACCTTGCCAAACGTTTCATTCCTGGATAGCCTGAGCTATGTACCGGTACTTAAGCGCCAAAAGCTATACTGAATGCGTGAACCATGAAAACGAAACTTGTGATTACAAACTTCTTGGATTTCGTCTAACGTCCGGTTTTCTACAGATCACAGTGTTTCGGAAATTGAATTAGTTTCCGTCCTCAACTGAAAGGATGGCAGGCAACTACACCGTTGGCTCCATCTCAGTCACTCAATGTCGAATGTTCTTACCATTGTCAGGCCCCTTCAGATTCGGCACGAAAGTGAAAATGCCGATCACAGCGGTCGCTCGGTCTAAGGTATGAACTGTCTTCACTCGCTCGAACGCTGCAATCGTGGGTTCGAATCCCACTCAATGCATGGATATCTGTGTGCGTGTTTATTTTGTATTTGTGCGTTCCTGTGTGCATGCAGCGGCCTTGCGACGGGCTGATCACCCGTCTAAGGAGTCCTACCGACTGCGTAAAGGATCAAGAAACTGAAAAGGCAGTCAAGGCCCAACAAAGGGCTCTACAGCCATTGATAGATAGATAGGAGTAGATAGGCGGGTAGGTAGATGAAAGAGAAAATTGTTGTGCTATAATTATGAAGTTAATGAATTTGACGTAGTTTCGACTAATTGGCAAGCAACATGGTTTGAGAAACAAGTCCTAAGAATCTCCATAAACAGGGGTTTTCCCTTAGGTACCATATCTTTTCTTTCTGTTGACCCAGATAGTAATATCTTTTGCGTGTTTACACATTCTTAGGCCCGCTTCCAGGAAGTTACGCACGTTCTTTATTTACAACTGTACCTCTGCTTTGCCATTTCTTTAGCATGATAAATGCAATGAGTTATATCTTTGGTTATATGACGTTGTACAATCTGTTAAAAGATGACTTTAATCTAAGGCTTTGTCTTCAGCTGAGCTGAATTCTCCAGTCGGGAGTCGTCTGCCGCATACAATTAATTAACCCATTAAAACCTAGTTGTTACTACAATATCCCATTCTCTTTATCGTACTAAATTCTGAATTCTGCCCACGCAGTGTATTTGTGTGCTTCGTATGGTTCTCACATTAAACAACGATTTTTTAAACAGCATTAACTAGTTTCTTTTTAGCGGAGACCTGCTACTTCATGATTTTAGTCCGCAAGCGAACTATACCGACCGAGTGACCGCAGCTTGTCTGCGAATTTTAATGCCAATTTTAGAGGATAGAGGTTGTCGCGTGGCCAGCGCAACGAATCTCCACGGCCATTAATTTCGGGTTTCTAGACCGGAGCCGCTATTTCCTTGAAATAGCTCCTCAATTACAGTCACGATTACTGAGAGAACGCCGTTCCAGATCCACTACTTCTCAGAAAAAATCTGGTAGAGCCGGGAATGGAATCCGGACCTCGGGATCTGTAGCCAGGAACTCTGACCACTAGACCGCAGCGGCGGTCGTTACCTGCTACTAGTAACTGAAATTTACATACAGTATTTCCTCAACTCTATGAGGCCATCAGCTATAACCACTCATCTCCAACTATTTCCGAGGTCAAGAAAACGTGGGTCTATACATCCACTCCCCCATACGCCTTCTTGGAGTAGTGCTTAATTAGTTAATAACTTTACCTTAACCTTTACCTTTGATTTAGTAGTAGGCATTCAGGAGAAAGAATACGTGCATTGCAACTGGAAATCCATAGGCATTCTGAATCATTGCCGGAGTTTCCGTGGTCTATAAACGGAAACACCGACAATAATTTAGAATCATCTGTACATAGGAATATTTTCGGGATCTCCTTTGGTGCTATCTTTTCTTTGCCATCAATTAGCTAGTGATGTGGACGTTCAGATTTTCCTTACGCTATGGTCATACAATATCATTCTTCGACCATGAAATATAAGAAGCAAAAATTTTGAAATATGAAAATTCGCGTCTTCGAATCAAGGAATACGGGTTCAGTATTTAAAGGGTTCACTTTGTACTCCGAACATCGTCTCACCCATATATAACTGACCAAAATGTTAGTGGACCCATTTCACGAGTACATATACGGCACATGCAATTGTATTTGGATTTAGTTGGTTTATGTAACACTGCCCACATGTCTTGAATACATGAAAAATAACAGTTTTCACTTATAAGTATAACATATATTTGTGTGGGCTGTATTCACTTATTTAGGGTCCAGGGGCGGACATTTTTAAAATGACAATGACTCTTACTCTTTAGTACAATTTGGGGAATTTCTTTAGCAGCCACCATCAGCTTCTCCAAGAGGCTCTGCTCTGCGAAGTTAGTACTGACTGATACGGCTGTGCTTATAACGAGCTTTTTCAACTAAAGATTGCTGCAAGAAGTAATTGGGCCTTTTTCTAATTTAAGTAATCAGTTTCCAGATTATGCGTAAGGTGCTATGGAAGAACTATCTATGACTTTAACAAATGATTTTAACAATTATTTCTTACTATTCCATCTCCTTGTTGTTCTACCTAACTGCTGCTTACCAAGAGATGCCCCTACTTGTGTTGTGCATGCATGGTTCCATGGCTCCAACATCTACTCGCCTTGATAATTCTGCATAATCTGCATAATAAAATACCTTTCTTCCGTAAATTTCGCAACTTTGACATCCTTGCATGTATAATAGAGAGTGTAATAACGTTTCGTTTATGAGGATAAATAATATTATATTGGTTTGTTTTTATGCTTACGTAAGGCTTGTCTAAGCGACAGTTACTCCTGTGCATACGCCTTGCCGCGGAAACGAGCAAATCACTAACACTAAATATAACAGCGTGATGGCTCGGGTGACAGTCGGCTTAAAGTGAACTTCCCGCACAATAAGTATACGTTTAACATTAGAATGTGGTACAGAAAACAAACATGGGGATATACTTATGAGTACAATGACCAATGCCGGGTAACAGCGTCGGGAGGTTAGGGAGACTAAGAGAACAAAGTTATTCAATTTGTAGCAATATAAACTAAAGTATGGCTATTTCAATACTCTTACAACAATATTTTAATGAAGGCTGTAAATAACATGTTGCAGTTATTTCAACATATTTTTAAGAAAATCTTAAGCAAGAAAACAGCGCGCGCACACCTGAAGAAGAGTGTAATGTAGGCTGTAGTGAACAAAATTAGATCTGAGGACATCAAAAGCATTACAATGACGGTTTGACATAAGCATGGTCAGTATAAATTTGAAGATACTCAAACTATATACACCAATCTGGCAATTGGAAAACACTACAAGAAAACAAAGGGTTTTAATTGAGGAAGGAACAAATAGACAACACACATAACACTGAATCTCTCTCCTAAATCATTATTGGTGCCCATGTACACACACACACACACGCACACACATGAAACTGCCGTTACATATTTATCTTGTTGTATTATTGAAACGCTGTCTGGGCCCTAAGAGATTTACGAACCACAGTTTGAGGATAACTTCATACATTCTCAGAAAATAGCAGGCAACTTGGTGATTCTTCGTTTGATATTTTCGTAATGCTTGTGAAACTTGTTCGGGTGCCTTTGACTTCGTTTCCGATCGCCCTCAGTAAGCTCAAAGTGTTTGTCTGATATTGTTCGTACAAGAGACTTGAATTTGTAAGAACTTATTGACTGTGGATGGAAGTGTGGCGGTTGGCCAGCATGCGGTGTCTGCGTGACAACATTCGGATCTCCAGTCCGAGAGACGTCGTCTTCGTGAAAATCCGCGTCCCGCAGCATCATGAAGAAGCCTGGAGAAATAATTCCAGTGCCATCAGATCTGGACGCCTTCCTGTCCCCATTACCTTCAAGAAAAAGGGAACAAGAGTTGAACATTTTTAGTCTTATAGGTAACACTACTTTTAGAGAGGCCAGACATCCCACCTACCAGCGATTCTCTATATTATCATGATTAGTTTCGTAGGATTTGTAGTTCTCACAGCGGTGGTTATGAGAAATCCTATTTTCTGGGATATAACGGGGCACGCGGTAGCGTAGTTGGTTGAGGTACTGTGTTACAAACCAGCAGGTCACGGGTTCAAGTCCCGATGAGGTGGATTTTTTTTTCAATTGACCTAATCCTTCCAGCCGCACTATGGCCCTGGGGTCGACTCAGCCTCTAACAGAAATGAGTACCAGGAATTTTCCTGGGGTGAAAGTGCGGCCGGCGAGTAAGGCTGACAATCTCACCGCCATCTGTGAGATGGTTGTCAGGAAAACGTGGGACCTTCAACGTCTCACAACCCTATGTGCCTTCACGGCCTGTTGCAGGGATAACTTTACCCCTTTTACCTGGCATATAACACCGTGTAGTCCGTTTAAATACTCGGGAAACCACGAAGTGGGACAACGGAACTACACGACAACCTGAGCTACAGTCAGCCTGTAGTTCCTCGCCAGGCAGGTGACATGGCTTAGTTCTCCGTACCGCGGTCTGCTAGCCTAACCCACAATCTCATCTTCGTGCCTCACTCTGCATATGTGAAAACAATTTGTCTCATACAATTAACATACTCGCGTACAGTTATAACTTCTGCTGTTGTTCCCTGTTCACACAGGGGCGCATCCAAAGAGTTTATTTTCATAAGAAAGGTCCACGCACCTGCCCAAATATTTATAGTTTAACAGCTGTCCATCTGTCAGTCTTTTATATGTATGTATCATATGTTTGCGAAAAGGACACTTTAAGAATCTTTCTCTTCAAATCTGAAATATAGAGGTTTGATGGTGCCGAATTAAAATCGCAGAATACTTAAATCGTTAATTGCTTTTAATTATTTTTGCAATAAAAGTTCTATTTGACTGAGATCTATGCTTACCATATGCAGGGGGACACGCGTGACGAAAATAACGGGTTCAATTTCGGATGATTGGATTTATTGCCACTTCGATTACATTCTCCCTCAATTACAACCAGTACAGCGCTCTCTCTGATTTAAACTTTATAATTCACTGTTACGTATACACTAGTCGTCTCCTGGTAACGGATCTCATCACAGGAACTATCACTTAAAATCGCTATGACGTCTTCTTGTCAGTTCGTCTTCAGTCACTCTGGAACCTTGGAACTCAACTAAAAACCTGTCTACTACTCCCTCCTCCTCCACTTTACGACTACAAGCAAACGGCCTTTGTTGCCCCTATGGACCTTTATAGTGGACCTACAGAAAGAACGTCACGTGGTTGCTATCCAGTGTCGTATGACGTCACCGCCTAGGCAGAAGTATGTTTACCGAGCTGTTGCCTAGAAACGGGTTGCATAACTCCTTTGTTCTAATTGTTGCGTACCTGTACTGAGGGATGTTTATCAAGCCTTTGCGTAACAATGCATTGTCATGCCACATTGTTTTATAATTGTATTTGTTGCTTTATGTGCAGTCATTCTAATGTAGACAGTACATCTGTTACTCAAGCAGCTTGCATTGTCAGACGATTCGTGTCGCTATCTGTGAGGCTACCCGGAAGTTACACGGAATCACCTTTTCACATTTATATTCCGCGTTAACTTGAAGGCACAGCAGACCCATGTTACAAAAAGGAACTGTAGCTCCATGCGTAATAACCAGGGCCCGGATTTTGATGACATGCCATCTTTTTTTCCTTGTATCCTATGCAATGCTCTTAAATATATAAATCTCGGATATGAGCTGCTGGTTACAGAAGTGTAAATTTTATAGGCAATTTTTTGTCATTTTTTGACATTTTTAGGTTTAAGGTCATTTTTTTCATTTTGGGGGTAATTTTTTGGTAAATTATTGGACTTCTAAGGGCATTTCTTGTCATTTTTGACCATTTTAGGGAATTTTTCTTCATGTGATTTCTGAAATGTGAATAACATGGAGCGAAGTGTTCTTTCTTTTCTCCTTTAGGTCATTTTTCTGGATTTTTCAGTCGATTTATAGGTCATTTTTTAAATATTTTTAGGTCATCAAAATCCGGGCCCTGCATGTTACATTTTGGGGTCATATTTTAGGTCATTTTTCTGGATTTCTTCGGTCATTTTATAGGTCATTTTTTAAATATTTTCAGATCATCAAAATTCCGGGCCCTAGTAATAACATTGTTGTTATGGATCACAGTAGACTAAACCAGACAGCGAAAATAAGGCAATATTTTTCTTTCATTCTTAGTCGGGTTGCTTATCCATATTCACATGTGAAAGAAAATTGAGGACCGTGTTTCATTCCAAGAATATGTATCAGTCCTCTCGATTTAAAAATGACTTAATATTACATTTCGTCTCATGCAAGTGTATGCATATAACTATGTTTTGCAATCTTGATAGCTTAAATAATATATTTGTTCCGTTATCAATTACGATACATGTCCATATTTGTCCCTTGCAGTACCGAAAATATGGATAATTTCATATAAAAAAGAATTCCACTGGGAAGAAATAAACTTACCTGGCGACGCTATCATTGCAGCAATTGTCAGCACGGTCACGAGCCGTAACATCACTCTTCTGCGTCGTACACGGTGCTAGAAAGGAAATAAATGAAAGAACAAAAGCAAATTCAATTATTCAAAAATATTTTGGTTATGAGAAAATCGATACAATTTTATGGTATTTGGAAAATTATTATTTTCGAAGAAAGTTTAGAAATTGGTGTCACTATATTTGTTTTCCTCTCAACTAGAGGCATGGAGGGAACAGGTTATTTCTTCTTTCTACCTCAGTTCTGCTGTTACGAAAGAGGTACTGGATTATATGAAGGCACGATTTACATGAAATGACTTCGGAGAGAGAATTTTGAAACCTAACTGGTCGAAAAATCGTTCAAGTTACTCGACATGTAGCCAGAAATGTCGGTGCTTGTGACTGTCAGCTTATTTTGTAAGTTTGTTACTGTCATTTAACGTTCAATGTATAATGCTTATATTGGAAAAGTAATAAATTTTGATTTTGTGTCACGTTTCACAAATGTCACTCAGTACTAAACTCTACAATCCACAGTAGACTGTCGGAGCGGTTGTTCCGAATTAATATTCGCTGGATCGATAGGCAAACGATCTCGAATACCCTACAGAAAACAGTAACAAATGCTTTCCGTCACATGTCTCAGGAAGAAGAAGTGTTTCTAATTGGTGTTTAAATGCCAATGTGAACTATAATGTGAAATTAGATCTGCGAGTGACGACGCTAGCCTATATTCACAGTCATTCGCAAACCAACAACATTGGCAGGTCGCATACATAAGGCAATTCTTAGTTCTGCAAATGTTCAATTTGAGGACCGTTCAAATAAAAAGAGTCCGTATTAACGCATTTCACAAACTAATATTTGATTTTCCATATGCACCAAGTATTGTAGGAGCTTGGATAGCGTAGTCGGTACAGCGATTGGCTATGGGCTGGACAACTGAGGGGTCAGAGTTTGAGTCCCGGTAGGGTAAAGAATTTTCTCTTCTCCATGTCTTCCAGACCAGCCCTGGTGTTCACCCAACTTCCTATCCATTGGGTACCAGGGCTCTTTCCTCGGGGGCAAAACGGCCAGGGTGTGAAGCTGACCAACTCCAGCTAATGCCGAGGTCAATAAAATGTTGATCTATACATCCAGTCCCTCTTCGACTTTATGGCGTTATTTCAAAGCATGAGAAACGAAGGGAAAGCGATGGTGACAAACGCAGTTGTGTAGAACTGTGTATAATGGTGCGAGTTTGTCAGCCGACTTCAAGTTCCAAGAAATTAAGGGAGAGTAGAAAAATTTTACTCGTATGGCACGAGCAGATTTTGCATTCCTAATTAATTCAGTTGATTAAAAGTTTACAAAGAATGGTACCACACATAGAACAGCTGTTTCAGTTGGAGAGAGAGGTCCAGTGATTGAGGCTAGCCCTTTCTAAGGGACCCAACAGAATAGGTGTTTTCCGTCACCTGAGGACGGAAACAGATCCAGTTTCCGAAACGTCGTGTTTTTCTTAGTTATCTTAAAACCAGATCGATGGATAAAGTCCGAAAACCCAATATCTCTGTGGGTTATACACCATCGTCAGAATCCTATAGTAACTAAGTTGTATGGAGTTTCATTAAATTCTATTATCAAATCCAAAATCCGTTTCATAAGTCACGCAAACTCCCAGTATGTGATATGTTTCAGATTTTTGTCCTCTATAAAACCACAACTTAAAATTTATCAACATGATAAGTAAGTTTATGATTACCCCATATTTTTCATATGAAGTTGAAGCATATTGTATGGGTAAATGCTACTTAACTTTTGAACTCTTTTGGAGCGGTCAGACATCGGCCTTGGATTTACTTAGTCGATGGTAAGTACAGGCTATCAGGAAAGCAAAGAGCCTCAAATTCTTTCCCATGTAATGAAACAAAGTATTGAACTGAAGTTAATTACTCCTGAAAGGAGGTCTCTCACTTTGAGGAAGGAACATGCTTGAGGGTGCTTGAGAACAGAGCGCTGAAGAGAATATCCGGACCGAGGAGGAGAAAATAACAGTAGGATGCAGCAATGTATGTAATGAGGAGCTTCATAATTTACGTTCTTAAGAAAATATTACTATCTCTCTAACTATCTCTGGCTCTACAGTCCTTTGTTGGGCAATGGCCGCTTTTCAGTTTCTTGATCTACGTATTAATCTACGTATTACACAGAAGATAGAACTCCTTGGAGAGGGGATCAGCCAGTCGCAAGACACAAACACAGAATAAACGCACACAGACATTCATGCCTCAAGTTGAATTTGAACCCATGATCCTAGTGTCCGAGCGGGCAAAGACAGTTCATGCCTAGACCGCGCGGCCACTGTCATGGGCCAGAAAATATTACTAGGGTGATCAAATCAGGGAGGATGAGAAGGCTGGGGCATACAACATGAGAAAGATTAGAAATGCGTACAGAATTTTATTCGGAAACCTGAAGGAAAGAGTCTACTTAGAATAATTACCGTAGATATGAGAACCGGATTGAACTGGCAGATGATAGAGTCCTATAGTGACCTTTCCGTCTAGACTTGTTTAGTGTTTGAGATGCTCAGTGGAAGATGCATGTCGCACCATCTGTCTGCAACTGAGGTCAACTAGCCTCGGCTTCTGATGGTAGAATGGACTAACGGGAATTGTTCTTACACTGACACTGATACAGACAGCGACCCCTTTTCTTGATCCGCCTTTGATAACCGGCTTGGTCAGAATGGTACTTCCCCTACTACACGTGTTTCTACCTCCAGATAGGGATGTTGAGTATGTGGGGCATATTGATAACGTGTAATGATTTAAGATGGGCGCCACTGTAGGGGTTGAGGGGCTATGCTACAAGCCGGAAGGTCGCGGGTTCAAGTCCCGATGAGGTCATTGGATTTTTTCAGTTGATCTAATCCTTCCAGTCGCACTATGGCCCTGGGGTTCACTCAGCCTCTAACATAAATGAGTATCAGGAATTAATTAAATAACTTTCCTGGGGAGTAAAGCGCGGCTGTCGCGTAAGGCTGACAACCTTACCGCCATCTTTGAGCCGATTATCTAGATAATGTGGGACCCTCAACGTCTCACAACCCTATGGGCCTTCACGGCCTGGTACAGGGATAGATTTACTTNCGTCTCCCACCCCTGTGGCCCTTCGCGGCGGGGTAAGGGGATAATTTTTTTTTTTTTTTTTTTTTTTTGGCCACTGCTTCTTGTGCTTACAGAATTAGCTAAGCATGTAGGTATGGGAAAATATTTTGGCCGACTTGCATAAGACTCAAGGGTAACGGTGCCGGATTCACCAAATAACAAGATCATTCACTTTGAATGAATATATAAGTGGTGGACCTTTTGGACCTTGCACCGCGACCACAGTGATCTGTTGTGCCTTGATTCACCTTGATGTTAATTCAGTTATATTGTTCTTCCTTTGTATTACCATAGCGTACACCATTATTTAATTTACTGTAGGTAAATTACTTATAATTACTCACTTTCTCACTCATGGAACTGAACCCTTCTTGAGAAATCGCCAATTGTGAAGCTACTCAAGAATTTCCCATCATTTTATGGAACCCGAAAGTTCATTACCGTGTTCACAAGAGCCCTCCACTGGTCCCTATCCTGAGTCAGATAGATCAAGTCCATACCTCCCATCCTATCTCTACGTAAGAGATTATTATAGCTCGTTGCTAGGCAACAGTCATGGCGCCAATGAACTCGCTGGCTAGGAATCACGTGACTTATTTTTCTGTGTTGTCTGTGCAGAGTCTATATAACGAAGACCTGTAGCTTAGATTAATGCAGAGTGCAGTGCAGTGAAGTGTAGGTAAGGATTAGTTGCAAGAGTACGGATGCGAAGAGAAGACTTTGTATGTAATATTTGAGGTGTGTAATTCAGCGAGACTATTAATAGGTCCGTGTTTTAATTGCGTTACCAAGAGGACTTGTGTGTGTGTGTGTAATAGTGAATTGTAAAGTGTAGAATTAACTATAGCGCTATAATTGCGCGTAATTACTGGTGGTGTGTATAAGGAGTAAATAAACCCATTCATCCAATCTAGAACTCGCGTTATTAGTCACTAATACACGTGGCAACATGTACCTTAATGTTTTATCTTATTCTTATGCACTGATTCGAACTAATAAAATATTAACAGTTAAAAATTATTATTATTATTATTATCATCATCATCCATCATCATCATCATCATTAAAGAAATTCACTGTTCCTAAATCGAGTAACTTGATAGCCAGAGTAACCAATCGCATTGGATGCCAATCCCACCTCACAAGTTCGTGCGTACACCATGTCCTTTTTACTGACTTTAAGAAATTAAAAATTCTGAGAGTGACACAGGACCCAACGGCATACGGTTAGTACAGAATTCAGTGAAAATGGATTCGGTTCTTTAAACTTCGAAAGAGGAGCCATACACAGATCATTTTGGTTTCACTTTCCTACTTTTGACGCGTTTGCAGGGAAAGTTTACAGAATGCGCCCGTTTTCTTTTCCATACATGTTTGCCCGTCCGTCAGTCCGAATGTAACACCTTGAGAATATATTAAGGAATTTTTATAACATTTTAATGTAGTATGTTTTATTATACTCTGCAGTACACACATTCCGATTTTGGTTGAGACCGAAAAAAAATCGCGGACGCCTTACTTAAGGAGCTGCATGAATTTCTGCGCGCAACTAGAATGTAAATTGTGAAATACTTTTCGGAGCGAAAAGTACGCGTATTTCTGCCAGATGTATATAGAAAAATGAGACTCGGACATTATACTTAAGACATATTTACAGCATATTTAAAAATTTTGCGTTGAACTACAAAGAATTAGCAAGTATTTTCCAACTGCATTTTTTATAGTTTGCATTCCACTGTAACCTCAAGTTTAGGTTTCAGGTATATATCAACTGCTTCCTTATTTCATTTTATCCATCTATTGTCGGTCCCTTGTGGCAGAAATGGTCTACTTGATGCTACAGCCAAGTCTATTCTTCAAAATTAATTTAGGATGCATGGCTGCATTTTTTCTTTATTTCCTTATATGTGCACCACATTGTAAAATTGCTCCAAAAGAAGAGAGAAAGTACTTTATGTTACGTAGGCCAACTAACGTGCGTTACAAAAATCATTTTGAAGGAAACTTGTGAAATTCAATTAAAGTTTTAGAATGAGTAGGGGCTACAGTGAATCACTACTTCAAGATAGATCAAGTTCGCTAGAAAACTCTTTCTGTAGACCACAAAATTCCACCGAAATCCTCTCACTTTTCGTTTTTAAGAACGTCTAATCGTACTTACTTGATCAATGATGATGTTCAGGGTCCTTTAGGGGATCAAGGTGAACCTGCTGACTCTGTGACCGCCTGTGAACATCTGTGATCATTATTTCGAAACGTGGTGATATTCGAGATCACTTTGACACCGCCCCCCGTGGTTTTATATTCTGCTTGCGAGCGATAACATCACAAAGCCAGATCTAACGACTGAGACTGACAACAGGAAGGTTTTCGAGGCATGATTGTAGATAGAGTTGTGTCAATATTTATTGGCATTGTATTGAATGAACTACTCCCAAAAATACAAATTTATATGAGGATGAAATGAAGATATCTTCTGGTTATTTTCTCTTACGCCCTTGCTTTCATAATTTCCTATTCTGTGTAGAAGAGTTCACATTTTATGTATACTAGCATGGTCGTGCAGAAAATTTTACATTGAAATTTCAGAAACTCTTTTTGCTTTCATTGTAGTTACTTGTAGTTAGGGCCGCGCCGTAGCTCAGGCGGCTAGTCGTAGGCTTCCAACCGCGGCGGCCCGGGTTCGATCCCGGGTCTGGTGCTGGGGCAGGTTTTCTCCGACTACTTCGGTTTCCCCTGCCAATCTTCATTCCACCAATTGCTCCACAATCACCTTCACCTATCATCTGGAGCCGGTAAAGTAGGCCAGAAGTACAAGGGACTTAGTCCCACCCCACTAGGAATAAAAAAATACTGTAGTTAACGTTCCTGGGCTCTTAGACTTACAGATACCGTTCTAGTGAGCTTCAGAACTCAATTCGCCTACGGCAGGTCGCATACAAATTGTATTCCAGCACTAAAACCATCCAAATCTCTTTGAAATTTCACATACATACAATTGTAATACACTACACTTCTCGAAAACACAAAGTTATGTTAAAATAAATAATAATGCTAATAATTAATGTCATAATATAGTGTAAATGCGTTTCTTTGCCCTGGTTTCTGTAAAAAAATTGCTACTAAATTGCTACAACGAGTTATGTACTCGGAGTAGCAATTTAGTAGGCAGTCAGTCAGTCAGTCAGCGGCAGGAGTGAGTCTGCAAGTCATCAAATAATAATGAGATTATGAGTTCCACGGGAATCTGAACTAAGTATCACTGTGCTGGAGAGACCAACAGCCATTTGCTCTACCTGATCCAAGCGAGTCAGTCTCGAGATACATTGTTAGCCGCCGCTACACAGCAACGATTGGTGAACAAACAGAAATCTACGTATTGTAATTTTGTATATATCGTGTAAATCATTGAGACTGTTATAGTTATTTCTAGTTATGAGCTACAAGTGTTCAATAAATCCAAATATCGATCCTAACCACGTGTTTATTCACTATCACGTGACAATATGAACTAGGTTTTATACAGTCTATAGAGTCGCTGCAATGAAATTTTCTAAAAGAGGCAGTTACTGTTTAATCGAGGTTGTGTGTCGGAAATTCATGTTGTATTTACATTTCCTGTATTGTTTCTAGTTCATTATTCTATCGGCCTATGGCACATATATGGCAAGGATCATAAACATGATTGCATCTACATTCATGTCCCCATTATCCGGCGTTAATTTTTCCCATGAAAAGTCGCCGATTAGGGCTTTGTTTTATAACGAACCCAGTTTCGATATTTGCATTGTTTTTCATTGCGGGTCCATAATTTCACTAATTACAGGTGCAGAAAGTGATGAAATACAATGAACATTATTAAGAATGCAGTACCATACAACCAGAAAGTCTGGCCACTGTGACTTGGTTTGCAAACACCACCAACGATGATCGTTTGTATATATGAATATATGGTGGGAGTATCGATGTATCGAATCGTCCATTAGTGGGACGTCGATTATCACAGGACGACTACATCATGTGTGTTTAAAGTGACAAGCCTTGCGTTTCTTGGGCGGAATCTGCTAAGAGCGGAGAGGTATAAAGACAGATGCATCGGGGGTAGAGTGTCGTGAGGGTGAAGCTGGGCGCTCAGTCCATGCGGTGTTCAAGTCTACAGTGCATAAGGTCTAGCATCTTATGCGCCTTCGCGGCGTGTTGTTTGTTGAGGGGTGCTCAGTCCATGCAGTGTTCAAGTCTACAGTGCATAAGGTCTAGCATCCTATGCGCCTTCGTGGCGTGTTGTTTGTTGAGGGGTGCTCAGTCCATGCAGTGTTCAAGTCTACAGTGCATAAGGTCTAGCATCCTATGCGCCTTCGTGGCGTGTTGTTTGTTGAGGGGTGCTCAGTCCATGCAGTGTTCAAGTCTACAGTGCATAAGGTCTAGCATCCTATGCGCCTTCGTGGCGTGTTGTTTGTTGAGGGGTGCTCAGTCCATGCAGTGTTCAAGTCTACAGTGCATAAGGTCTGTCATCCTGTGCGCCTTCGTGGCGTGTTGCTTGTTGAGTGAAGACACCAATCGTAGATGCTGATTGTTTCCAGGTTCTAAACCAGACATCGAACGCGCTACAATTGAAGAACGGGAGGGGACATTAATTTTCTGAACTACTGGCGCCCGGCACAGCATTTAACCCTTGTCACTCAGGGCGCAAAAACTGCGGGATAGCTACCTGAAAGACGAGGTTTCGATTCCTAATTTTATATAATATGAATTTCCGTAAATTGTGAAAGATCAAACGCTAATATAATTAATATCTAGTCGTGTTGGAATGTAGGGGCAAAATATACCCCAACACAGCCCGAAATTTTGTAACGTGATATATGAATTTAATAGGCTATTTGAGAAACACCCAACACTTACTGAATCCGAATTATCATAACTCTGACACAAAGTCCTAGAAATAAAAAACTTATTTAAAAAGCCTCAAGTGTTCTAAAACACTGACACCATGTACTGAGCTAGTCAAATTATAATATTTAATACCAAAATAAATTAAAGGATTATAATTAAAGGTAAAAAAGTACAAGGCTACCCCTGTAATAGGCCCTGAAGACCCCAAGGGGTGTGAGAGTTTGAGGCTCTCGTATCTTCTAGATAGTCTGCTCACAGGTGGCGGTAAGGTTGTCAGTCTTACGCCCCGGCCGGCCTTTTATCCCCAGGAAATTCCTGGTACTCATTTCTGTTAGAGACTGAGTCGAACCCAGGGCCATAGTGCGGCTGGAAGGATTAGGTCAATTGAAAAAATCCAATGACACATTGGAATTTGAACCCGCGACCTTCCGGCTTGCAGCATAGTGCCTCAACCAACTGCGCTACCGCGTACCCTCGGACTGATAATTAGAAATTCAGATATGACCAAATGTCGAGCTTATTAATAACTGTATCTTTTGACATAGTTTAATATTGTTAATATTTAACAACATAAGAGAGAAGATATAGTCGGAACGACTGCTCGCTTCTTGTAGTTATAAGTTTGTTCTAATAAATAAACATCAATGGTACACGGATAAGCGGCATCCGTAGTCTAGAGGTAACGTTCCCACCTCATGACTCGTAGTACGCGGGTTCAAATACCCGGCGGAGGTCGTCGAATTTTTAAGGGCGGAAAAATTCAGGGAACAAGTCCTCCGGGAGGGACTTTAAGCCGTGGGTCCCGTGTCGTAGCTTTACGGCACGTAAAAGAAACTCATATCTCCAAAGGAGGTCACTGAGCGGAATTACGGACGTTTCCCGCCCAACAGCAGTCTCTAATACCTCTGGTAGATGGGGGAAGCATTATAGATACCTCTCAGCTAGTAGAGCCGGTCTTGCTGGCTGGGCGGGACTGATGGTAAGCACCAATACCGGTAGGATATAGAGACTGGTAGAAATCATAGAGGGAAGCACAATGGACCAATACAGGTCTAAGTGCATGGGGAAACCCACCCTCTCCAATAACTAACTAACTAACTACACGGATAGGCCACAGGTCGGTGACCGAGAAATGAAATCATCTAGCGAAATTGTCGGTAGGTGCATAAAAGTAAGCTCGGGTGATATAGGCAGAATATTTAATAAACGCTTATGATGCAACACGCCCAATACGTATGCAAATCAAAATTATTACTGTATCACTTGAGGTTTTCACGGCGGCGACTATGAAGAGTGCCGTCTTCTGGGATGTGGCGTCGTGTTTCGCATAAATTGTCGCCTCCATCTTCAGGGTGAATAATCCGCGAGCGAGGAACCAGCGTGAGCATGAGGTTGCAGAGTCCTCTACTGCTCCATATCCTGAGCCAGATCAATCCAATCCATACCATCCCATCCTATGTCCCTAAGATCCATTTTAATATTGTTCACTCACCTACGTCTTGGTCTTACCAATAGTCTTTTTTCTTTTGGCTTTTCAATCAATATCCTATATGCATTTCACCTGGAAGTGACTTTATCTAAATCTGAAGGGTAGCCATAAGTAAAGAATTACGAGGGAGAGTCAGTAAGTAGGTAACAAATGGATATAAAACGTAAGACATGTGATAGGCGAACATAAAAAAGCACTTACTTCTCGACATATTCTTCACCAGCATTGATATATGTGGCCAAGCGCTTTACATGTGCGTCCAAACCCGCAGAATAGAAATCTTTTGACTGCTGTCCCAGCCATTTCCGCAACTCCGTTTCAACCTCTTCGTCGTAAACGAAAATTTTGTTACCCATTTGTGAACGACAGACACTTTCAAACATAAACAGAAACCTTTCTTTATGAATATCCTTTGCATTGAGTCTTTTGCCCACACAAAACGCACAACAGAACGCTGTTCTCCGGTCTTACACTGTTCAAGCACGGTCGTCATTTTGACTACTGAAACTAGCCTCTGAACATCCGCATGCGCGTCTGCTACCTAGACTGCCATGCAGCTGGACTATGCTGCTACCTAGTGACATACATATAGAACCTATTATGTCCATTGCAGCTGTTTTACTTCCATTTGTGTCCTATTTACTGACTCTTCCTCGTACGTACTCCTCACTTTGAGCAAAGCTGCGTGTTCGAAACAATAATTATGCCTAAGTCAAGCCTTTTCCCGACCTATATTAGTACAGTGAGACATCTTAAGATACTAAACAAAGCGAAAAATTTAAGGACTTTTTTTTAGATTATAAACAAAATAGGATAAGTAAAAGTGAAGTTCATAATACAATTATGAAAGCAAAGTTTTGAAATATCAGTTATCGCTCAGTTAAAAAGTATTATTATCCTCTGTGTCCCCCAAAACACTTAAGATTAGAATATAATGGACAGAACTATTAACAGTCTTTTTCTGTGAATGTGAAACCTTGTCCCTTACTTTCAGGGCAGAGCTTTATAACAATTCCTCTGGGATATCTGCATATCTGGAACTAACGAGGATGAAATAAACAACAGTTTGGAATATTACGTAATGGATGTGGTTTATCCAGGTTAGGATAGGCTGCGCATTTGTGCAGATAGATTTTGAAGGAAAATTCCCGGAATATTTCCGCTTGTGGAAGACCGAAAAGGAGAAAACAAGAAAGGTTGAAGACGTTCTTAGGAAGATTGTTGTGCATACCGGATATGCATGGAGCTGGTTCAGCCCGTGTTCAATAGCGGGCTTTAGTATTAGCGGTGCAGATCCTTAGACGTGTGCCACCACAGTTAGTTTGCAAGCTACATATCACCTAATGGGAGGACGAGTGTAAATGAAGAATTACAAAGGAGATCTACAGAAGGAGGGAGTAGTGATCAGTTTTAAAGTAGTATACCAGCATTTTTCTGAAGGGACTGAGGAAACCCACATTACTTAACGTTCAGAACAACTTTGCTCTGAAAGCGGGAGTGTCAGCCACTTGATCGTAACTTTCGATGGTACTCAATGTTTAAAAGTTGTAGTATAAATGAAGGTACATAATGAAAGGGTTTTGTAAACAACAATTTATTATAAAATTCTCTTTGTATTCCAATTTGTAACAACAAGGAAGTTAATGTATTTTGTCTCAATTAAATTCTTTGTTTCAGTTCTTTTGTGAGATGGTCTCCATCTGTCTAGAAACTCGAGCAGGAGCTCTCATCACAATCATATTTGGGCTGAAAGATATTCCAATATTTTTCTCTGACATTTTTTAGATTTTTCCGGCGTGAGCGCTATATGTAGCTTTGCCGGTACTGTCAATGGAGGAACTGGATGCTGAAAACACTCCTTTTCCTGTAGTAGTGCCGCTGCCACCCACCCCTGTCGAGCCGTCATCAGAGGAACCGATTCTCGATAGAAGTATGTTACCATCACCACCACCACACGCATCGCACCCTCCTCCGTGCCTGAAAAAACAAAACAAAGTTGCAGCGCACATCAGTATTGGTATGGGCTGACGGCGGGGTTAGAGAGCCATTAGCGCGAGTACTTCCTCTCTTCTTCATGCGTCCACACAGCTCTGGGACCCCTCTGCCTCTTTCCTTTCCAACAGGTACCGGGCTCTTCTCCTGGAGACAAAGCTTCCGAAGAGTGGAGCTGACAACTCATCTCAATCTAGTGCAGAGTTTAAGAATGTAACGAGCGCCACCTACACGCCCCCATACACAAAGCCTTAATTTCATTGAGCTTAGATAGTGGAGCAAATTTACCTTACCCCACACTTCGAAAGGAGGAACCAAATTCTTATAGTATATTCTCTGCAGGAGGTGATTATAATGGCGGTGTTTATTTGTCGGCATTTTATACATCTGCAACTACTGGATGAAGTTTGTTGCAATTTGGTTTAAAGGGTCTATTCTAAACGCTGCGAGGCAAATTCAGATTTCCTACAAATCGGTCCAGTACGTACTTTACTCTGCACGAAACCCAGTCGTAATTTACTGATATTCTCACAAAAATGGTTCATCATTCGAAAAATTGCTACGTCTCATAAAACCAGATGTCATTTAAAACTGGAAATTTTATTTGGAACATCTTTCTACATGGTGAACATTTACAGAAACACAAGAAAGTATGTCATCTGACTGTGCATGTTCTCTGGAATGTAACGGCTTGCAGTTAATTGAAATTCAACTGACTTCCTACCTACTTCATGTTGGATTTTTGACTGTCTTGCTGTTCGACCCTGCCAATGGGGACGACATGTTCCTCTGAAACACCGGTTGACTTTCAGCGGACTGCATGGCGTTGTATCCCAGAAGATACAACACTTCATAACAACTCTGTGAGAGCCTTGAATCCTACAACTCTCAATTGTTTTTAGCTCTATACCCATAGCTGAGTCAGGGAACACGAAGGGAACAACTATGTTTGTATTTTCAATAACTGAAATTCACAGACAATGGAGTTATCAAAATAACAAGAAATGCATTCGGAGAATATGTGTACACAGCAAGAGAACAACTTTATAATCCTTTTTAATGTTATTACTGGACATATTGCAATTTTATTCTCTCGCGGTACTCCCATGCAGTTTATTGTATACAGTGAGCATGCTTGCTGCAGTTAAATTCTTCAGTATCTTGTGAAATTAAATAAATTATTACGGAGATGACGTCTATAGAAGCTGAGTTTATGCAATTGTAACTTTGTTTGTATAGTGTTAATAATTAGCAGTGACTCACAACTTGTTGATCATCACCGTGCATCAGAACGTTTGCTTTGTTACAAAGCTTAACGAATGCCAAGGACAACCACTCGTTAGCGCGTAATGAACAGAGTCTGAAACGTGACCGGAACTGCCTTGTTCTGGTCAGTAAATCTGCTGCTTCTTCGACGTACGCTATTTCTGCTCGTAGTTGCTAGTTCCAGCGTTCCAAGGAATAACTTACACTTAAAACAACAAATGTTGAAAGCTTTTCGATTTCGGTCTCTACGCATTTTGTCATGGGGTACGCGATAGCGTAGTTGGTTGAGGTACTATGCTACAAGCCGGAAGGTCAGGGGTTTGAGTCCGATGATGTGGATTTTTTCATTTGACCTAATCCTTCCAGCTGCAGTATTGTCCTGGGGTCGCCTCAGCCTCTCACAGAAATGAGTATCAGGAATCTTCCTGGGGGGTAAAGGGCGTCCGGCCCGTAAGGCTGACAACTTTACCGCCATCTGTGAGCCGATGTGGGAACCTCGACCTCTCACAACCCTAGGGGTCTCCACGTCAAGTTACAGGGATAACTTTACCTTTTTTTTTTTATATATATATATATTTTGTCATAAGTTTTAATGTGCTAATGGTAGCTCTGCTCGTTTTCATCATAACTAGCAAGCACAGTAATTTCCATTAAACCGTTCTTACATTCTATTCTTACAGCCCATTCTTAAAGTTTTGTCTTCCCCCTTCCCTTCAATCGAATATAGATCAAACAGATCATGACGGAAGTCCTCAGTCTGTTACTTGTGAAGTTCAAGTCTCTTAAGAGAACTGGCACGTTTTGAACACGTCCAAATGTGAACACACTTATGTCACGTTTGCACTAGGCTTAGAGGCACTGTACGGAATATGCGTTTACATAATGCTTCAAATTAGAATGTATAAAACTATAATTTTGTCTCTGGTTCTGTATGGGTGTGAAACTTGGTCTCTGACATTAAGAGAAGAACATAGACTGAGGGTGTTTATGAAGAGGATTCTGAGAAAAATATATGGACCTAAGAGGGATGAAGTGATGAGAGGTTGGAGTAAACTGCATAATGAGGAGCTTCATAACTTGTACTCTTCCTCAAGTATAGTTTGCATGATCAAGTCAAGGATGATGAGATATACAGGGTATGCAGCACGCATAGGGAGAAGAGGAATTCATAGAGCATTTTGGTGTGAAAGCCAGAAGGAAAGAGGCCAATAGGAAGGCATAGATGTAGGTTGGAGGATAATATTAAAATGTATCTTAGAGAGACAGGTTGATGTGATATGGACTGGAGTGATCTGGCTGAGGATTGAGACCAGTAGAGGGCTCTTGTGCATATGGTAATAAAGCTTCGGGTCCCATGAAATATAGGGAAATTTTGAGTAGCTGAGCGACTGAGGGCTTCTCAAGAAGGGCTCAGCTCCACGGAATCAGCCAGTCATTACTTTACATCCCAACACGTGCAGTGGCTACTAGCTATACGAAAGCTTCTGTAGTAATAGTACGAAATAAAAGCCGCGCCATAGCTCAAGCGGTTAGTCGCTGGCTTCCCATCGCGGCGGCCCGGGTTCGATGCCGGGTATGGTCAAGTGGGATTTGTGGTGGATAAAGTGGCGCTGGGGCATGTTTTCTCCGAGTACTTCGGTTTCCCCTGCCAATCTTCATTCCACCAATTGTTCTACAATCAACCTCACCTATCGTCCGGGGCTGGTACAATAGGCCAGAAGTGGCCGCAGTACAAGGGACTTAGTCCCACCCCACTAGCAATGAGAAAATAGTACGAAATAACTCAGTGATATTACGGACAGCTTCATACACAACTGCAGACAAGAGAATGTCACCATATCCGCAACTGTGTAAGGTGCGCATAATTCTTCCTAGAAACCGGCAACTACTCCAGTGTATCTCAGGTTCACAGGGCCGTGAAACCTATACACAAACTCTAGCTACAAAAGAAAATTTGGACTTGTAGCTGCTTAAATAATCAGTCACAAAATGGCTACAGTGAGGAAAGAATCTATTTCGATATTTGTACTATGTTCGGAGAAATGCAAAATTAACTCTAAACAGGAAATATTATGGCCCACTCTGGGAACGAGGTAAGGAGACTCAGTCTGCATCCGTATTCTTTTTTCCTTGGCACTACAGCCCCAGTGAGCCTAGGCCTACCTCCATGAACTTCTCCGTTCACTTCGGTTTTTTCTAGATCTTACACATTCGGTAGGACTCCTTGGGCGGGTGATCAGCTCGTCGCAAGGCCTCTACCTGTACACAAACATAGAAAAACGCACACACACAAACTAAACATCCATGCCCAGAGTGGGATTCGAACCCACGATCCCGGTTTCCAAGCGAGCGAAGACAGTACATACCTGCATCCGTATACATCACAAAATTTAATCAAGATATGCTGATCCCTTTATTGCTGAAAATGAGAGCTTTAAACACTCCTTAGACCTGTACATTTAACCGTCAATTATGTCTGTGTGAGGCACACTGAGGGTCTTATGCATGAATATAGTTTGTCAAGTTCCACATCATTGAATTTAAATTGAATTTCTGGAACAAATATTATGTTTTTGGGCATTACACATCGCCTTGTCTCTATCTAAAAACCGTCCTGTTTATTTTCCAAACTACAGCTTTTCGGACACTGGATTCTGTCTCCGTCTTCAGGTAAAACCTACTCAGTTGGCCCAAATCGATAGAGCTAGAGCCTATTATCCGGAGATCGGGACGGGCTCTATCGATTGGGCTCAACTGAGTAGGTTTTACCTGAAGACGGAGAGAGAATCCAGTCTACGAAACGCTGTGGTTTGGAAAATAAACATGACGGTTTTTAGATAGAGACAAGGCGATGGATAATGCCCGAAAATATAATATTTGTACCAATGTCACAAACCTTGAGATTTTATTTGTATTTCTGGAGGTATGGATTTAGAACATATCACAAAGTTCAAAAGGAAAAGAAGATGACTCCATCTATTACAAATTTTGTACAAATTAAGATGTTTTCATTTATGTCTATATATTTAGAATTTGAAAAAGAGTAGTGTTTTTAATTATAAACTGAGGATGGTGGTTCTCATTAACTAGATCTGTAACCACCATTACAAAATCTGACATCTCGTTCATCAACCAAGCAATATAAAAGAACTCCGTGGCCTGTAGTCCGCAAGCGAACTATACCGACCGAGCGACCGCCGTTTGTCGGCGAAGTTACTGCCAACTTTTGTGGATAGAGGGTGTCACGTGATCAACGCAACGGATCACCACGACTGTAATCTCTGGTTTCTAGACCGGAGCCGCTATTTCCTTGAAATAGCTCCTCAATTATCCTCATGAGGCTTAGTGGACCCCGTTCCAGACCCACCACTTTTCAGAAAATTTGGTAGCGCCGGGAATCGAACCCTGGACCTCTGGATCTGTACGTAGGAAGTCTGACCACTAGACCACAGAGGCGGTCGACCAAGCAATAACTGCGGACAAAAAGGCAGCATTCAAGTACCGGAAGACACAGCCGTATTATCAGATCATCGTGTTAGTCACTTCTGAAAATGCAAATGCAGGAGCCTAATATTCAGATTCCAAGTTTAATGAGTTCACTTTTTGTGAACGAAACTTAGTCACAACAAAACTCACCCGATGCCTCCAAGGCCGCCTCCTAGACCCGCGCCGCTTTTACTCGAGCTAGAGGCTGAGCTCTGCGAGGAACTTCCACTTCCACCTCCGATTCCAGCATGGCCGAGTCCACCTGACCCATGGCCTCCATAACCACCTCCTCCAAGTCCACCGCCTCCCAGAAGTCCACCGCCGCCAAGTCCTCCCCCAGTAGCACCACTACCGCTTGAACTGCCAGAACTTGACTGACTTCCACTGCCACTGATGCCACCTCCTCCCAATCCAATTCCGCCTCCGCCATGTCCGCCACCTCCATGTAAACCTCCGGGTCCAAATCCACCAAGTCCTCCGTGTGCGCCACCAAGTCCTCCGTGTGCGCCACCGCCTCCAAATCCACCTGTTCCACCTAGTCCGTAACCTCCTCCTCCAAGCCCACCGCCGCCAAGTCCTCCCCCAGTAGCTCCGCTACCGCTTGAACTACCAGAACTTGACTGACTTCCACTGCCACTGATGCCACCTCCTCCCAATCCAATTCCACCACCTCCATGTAAACCTCCGGGTCCAAATCCACCAAGTCCTCCGTGTGCGCCACCAAGTCCTCCGTGTGCGCCACCGCCTCCAAATCCACCTGTTCCACCTAGTCCGTAACCTCCTCCTCCAAGCCCACCGCCGCCAAGTCCTCCCCCAGTAGCACCGCCACCGCTTGAACTGCCAGAACTTGACTGACTTCCACTGCCACTGATGCCACCTCCTCCCAGTCCAATTCCGCCTCCGCCATGTCCGCCACCTCCATGTAAACCTCCGGGTCCAAAGCCACCAAGTCCTCCGTGTGCGCCACCGCCTCCAAATCCACCTGTTCCACCTAGTCCGTAACCTCCTCCTCCAAGCCCACCGCCGCCAAGTCCTCCCCCAGTAGCACCGCTACCGCTTGAACTGCCAGAACTTGACTGACTTCCACTGCCACTGCTGCCACTTCCTCCCAGTCCAATTCCGCCTCCACCATGTCCGCCACCTCCATGTAAACCTCCGGGTCCAAATCCACCAAGTCCTCCGTGTGCGCCACCGACACCGCCTCCAAATCCACCTGTTCCACCTAGTCCGTAACCACCCCCACCCAAGCCTCCGGTTCCTCCGTGAGCGCCGCCTCCAAATCCACCAGTTCCAGGTCCTCCGAAACCACCCCCACCCAGGCCACCTCCGTGAATGCCAGTGGTACCGCCGCCAAACCCTCCACTTCCTGCATTGGCACCACTAGAGGCGCTTCCAAATCCACCACCTCCACTTCCTCCATAACCACCCCCAATCAAGCCATCTCCGCCTGCGTGGGTGCCACTCACGCCGCCTCCAAATCCTCCAGTTTTACCTCCACCAACGCCTCCAAATCCACCTCCCCCATGCCCGCCTCCAAATCCACCTCCTCCAAGTCCAGTATATTTTCCGCCTCCGCCTAATGCTCCTCCGAGAGATCCGCTGCTGGAGGAAGAGCTGCTCTTGCTTAAGCTGCTGCTCCCACTTCCGCCTCCACCGCCGCCACTGCTAGAGCTTGAGCTGCTGCTCTTACTGAAGCTGCCGCTCCCGCTACCGCCTGCGCTGCTCGAAGATGAAGAGCTGCTCTGACTGGACGAAAAGGAGCCACTAGGCCCTCCGAAGAAGAGTGCGCCCACTCCCGTGGGAGCCGGACTGCGCCGGAATCTGTTTTCCTTCCCAGTGACGCCCGTCTCAACTTTGCCGAGCTTCAACTTACCGGACTTGGACAGCAAGTATTCAAGGTCACCTAATGTTGACACAACAACAACTGGTTGCACTTGCCTCTCTACCCCGATGTACGGATTTCGAAAGTCAGAAGACGAGGCGATGACTTCTCTGTCATTGTCATACGGAGCTACTTCCACGAGACGGACATAACTTGCTACAGGTGCGGGGGGAGGGACTTCTTCAGTCGAGTCCTTCACTGCGTGTGGCAGGTAGTCGTTATCATCTGTAATTTATCAGATATTATTAATACGAATTACAATTTAAACCATGACAAGCCTTCTAGCATTGCTATGTAGTAACGCAACCATTACAATGAAAGCCAAAGACAAATTTGAAAACCACAGTTAAAAAAAAAAGATCGAGATAAGCCACAAAATAAACATAGATTATAAAACGGATAGAAACATTGAAGATATTATATAATCAATATTAACCAAAGCATTAGTAGAGAAAAAAAAGTCTCCGTTAACCCGAGAGAATGTGAACAAGTAGGCGCAGAAGAATTTCGAATTTTAAGAAAAGAGTATGCATCTCATGGAAGAATTCTTGGCACTGAAGACGGAATGGCGAAACGAGTGGCCTAGATCTTATTTATAATTTCAATCCTGTATTCTTGATGCTACGAACGTCATGAGCTCGACGAGACTTTACTTCGTATGGGAGGCGATTAGGAAAATATTAAAATGGAACTTAGAGAATTGAGATGGGAAGGCTTGAACTTCATTCAGTTACTCTGGAGGGGGGGGGCGTCAAGGGCGCTTGTGAACATGATAATGAACCTTCTTCCATAAATACTTGGTATTTTCTCTTTTTACTAGCTGATCGATTAGCTTCCGAAGATGAACCCTGCTTCAATGAGCTGGTTGGCTGCTTGATTGGTTAGTCACACACTTTGCTCTTATAGAATCGGAGGGCAATTTCCGGCAGAAGCAATGCATTCTTCCTCGTCTCCTACGGCTTCCATACCGGCCCTAAAACCCACTGAGCTGCCTATCCAATGGGTACCGGGAACAATTTACCCGCGGGTAAAAGGGGCCGGGGCATGAAACTAACCACTCACCTCCTTCTGGTGTCAATGTTAAGCATGAGTGGAGCTATAACTCCACTCCTCCATATGTCTCCAGGGAAAACAGTAACTTTATTATTATCACTGTCATTATCAGCGTCATCATCATTAAGTAAGGAGGCTGTTGAAGAAGTAAAACGCTCTAGAGGTGTGTGCGAGGTGCTCGGTTCGAAATTCGGCCTCTCGGCTACCTTTACTGAGGGCCGCGCCATAGCTCAAGCGGTTAGTCGCTGGCTTCCGATCGCGACGGCCCGGGTTCGATTCCGGATCTGGTCAAGTGGGATTTGTGGTGGACAAATTGGGGCTGGGGCAGGTTTTCTCCGAGTACTTCGGTTTCCCCTGCCAATCTTCATTCCACCAAATGCTCCATAATCACCCTCACCTGTCATCTTGGACTGGTACAATAGGCCAGAAGTGGCCGCAGTACAATGGACTTAATCTCACCCCACTAGAAATAAAAAAATACCTTTACTGAGGTTTACGTCTTTCCTAGTCTCTCGATGCAAATACCGGGACAGTACCTCGACTAGGTCACAATGGGTTATTTCCAATTTGACCTTCATCAGTCATCGTATTATTCGACAGCATACAGTTTAGACACTGGTAACGTCTTAATATAAGAGACCGTCACCAATAACTCTATAAACTCTGTGGAAGGAACCATCTGAGAAGATAACAGTCGCTCAGCTAGTCAGTAATCGTCTCCTTTTCGTGTGAAAACCAATGGCTCATTAAGTAAGATTTTCACAAGCGGCCTCCGTAGTCTAGGAGTAACGTTCCACCTCGTGACTCAAGGTACGCGGGATCAAACCCGGCGGAGGTCGTGGAATTTCTAAGGGCGGAAAAATTCAGGGAACAAGTCCTCCGGGAGGGACTTTAAGCCATGGGTCCCGTGTCGTAGCTTTACGGCACGTAAAAGAACCTCATGTGTCAAGGGGACCTCTGAGCCAAATTCAGGACATTTCCCGCCCAACAGTATTCTCTAACGCCTCTGGTAGATGGGGGAAGCATCGAGATACCGCTGAGCCAGTAGAGGCCGAACTCGCTGGCTGAGTCGGGACTGATGGCACGCACCAGTACCGGTAGGATATAGAGACTGGTAGAATATCACAGGGGGACGCATAATGGACCAATATCTGGACTAAGTGCATGGGGAAACCCACCCTCTCCAATAATAACAACAACAACAACAACAACAACAAGATTTTCACAGCGATGACTGAAGAATTCTGTCTTCTGGGATGTGGCGCTGTGTAGATCTTGTGTGAATCGACGTTTCGGAGGAGAGTATCGCCTCAATCTTCAGGGTAGAAAATTCCGCGAGCTAGGAACCAGCGATATTAGGTGGCTGCACCTAACACTGGTTCCTCGCTCGCGGAATTTTCTACCTTGATGATGGAGACGATACTCTCCTCCGAAACGTCGATTCACATAAGATCTACATGGCACCACATCTTAGAAGACCGAATTTCTTAAATGACTAATCATTTACTGCGTTTGCTAGACCTAACTACCGGATGTGAGCGAAATCGAATTCAGAACCCACAACCCTATTTTTTCTAATATTTGTTATCATCAATATCGTCGTCATATACTGACCGGATTTCAATAAAATGTGTTACTGAGTGGTTTGTACTACAAATTCATGGGCGAATTTAATATAGGATGGCCCAATATAATTTCATGTAGGGTTCATGACGTGACAAATAAATATACAATAGTCATACAAATATACACGAGACACACAGAATTATCACTTCACTAAATTCCACAAATTTTGTTAGGAATTTGTATTTCATGCAAGCTATAGCGAACAATTAATGTAGTACCAAGAAATGATCTTCTGACTGTGCAGCCTGAGGTCTATAGGAACACTGGATACGCAGCTGACTAACAAACTAACAAACAAACCAGCCAGCAAGCCAGCCAGGCAGCCAAATCTGTGGGTCAGGGTTTTTCTTGAGAAGTGAACAGGCTCTCAGCTATGCGGAAAATTTCCGTATTTTATGGAACCTGGTTGTTCGTTATCTTGTACATGAGAGCCTGCCCTTCGCACCCAGTCCGGACCAAATGAATACCGTTCGTATTTTCTCAAGCCCCGTCTCAATATCTTTGTTTCATCACATATCTGATACGAAGTCCATGCCCCACACATCCCATCTTTTTTATCTGATGATGCTTATAGTATTCGGAAATGGGGACAAATTAAGTGACATGCGCAGTTCTCTCTAACTTCCTGTTACTGTCTGGCTCTTGTATCTAAACATTCTCTTCAGCGTCCTCAAGCTATGTTTTCCCCTTATTGTGAAAGACTTAAAAACAACGGGAAAATTACATGTGTTTTTATAGTTTCATTCTTTCTCTTTTAGATTGCAGGCGATTAGACAGCATGCTGAATTGAATTGCAGCAATAATTTCATGAATTTAATTTTCCTTCTATTCATTCATGAATTTTTTTTTGTCGTTGTCAAATATGTGAACCCTGGCACGTCTGGGGAGGAATTTATTTTCTACCCTTATGTTACGATTCTTTCATCCATTCTGGTGACAGGACATGAATATATTGTGGCGTGCCGACAGAGAGTCGGAATGGTTGAGGAGATAATGGTTGATTTCCTAGGCAACGAGCATCGTTCCCGCTACAACGGCTAGGAATCAGTACACTAACAAACCTAAGCAACGAATTGTTCGAGGCAGTTGCATGACAACGACTAGCGTTTGCCTAGCAGCGGCGAAATTAAGCCTTCGACAAAGTATTCCGTATTCAGTCAAGTTATAACAGTCCAACGTCTGCCAGAGACCAGCAGAGTTTGTATTCGACTAAAACAGGGAAGAGTTCCTATCCGACAAGGGACCCAGAACAGTTGAGCTCCGAGCAGAAGACATTTCACCAAGACAGCGGTGCAAGGCCGCGCCATAGTTCAAGCTGTTAGTCGCTGGCTTACCACCGCGGCGGCTCGGGTTCGATCCCGGATCTGGTCAAGCGGGATTTGTGGAGGAGAAAGTGACGCTGGGGAGGGTTTTCTCCGAGTACTTCGGTTTCCCCTGCCAATCTTCATTCCACCAAATTCTCCATCATCATAATCACCCGGGGTAGGTACAAGAGGCCAATCAGTGGCCGCTGTGCTGAGTGGACCCAGTTGGACACCACCCCCCACTAAACGAATTAAAAAAAAAAGGTTTGAAGGGCGATAAACGGAGAATAACTGCACGTGTGAGTGTAAAAGTGACTGTCCGAGAACCCACACAATTTCTTGTCGCGTTGCCTAGCAAACACGGAACAATATACTTAGTTTATTTCTGCTTTTGCTTATATGCAGAACAGTTTCTTTATGAGATATATATTTTCGCCCAGTGAATTAACTCAATGAGCACAGACCAGAAGTTCATATATCCCATTCACATACAAACACCCTCCATTTTGGGGACATTCCTAGTGACATAATAGGTTTATATACATGTATATACATTAAGTTATTGTTATTTTTTTATTTTTTTTTTACTTGATGGGGTGGGACTGAGTCTACTTGGTACTGCGGCCACTTCTGGCCTATTGTACCAGCCCCAGATGATAGGTGAGGGTGATTGTGGAGCAATTGGTGGTATAAAGATTGGCAGGGGAAACCGAGGTACTTGGAGAAAAATTGCCCCAGCGCCACTTTGTCCACCACAAATCACACTTGACCAGACCCGGGATCGAAACCGGGTCGCCGCGGTGGGAAGCCAGCGGCTAACAGCTTGAGCTACGGCACGGCATACAATAAGTTAACAGTAAGGTGAAATGGTTAGGGTTATTAAGGTGAAGTGTGAACAAACTGAATGTCAAGAACTGTGTTCAAGAATTTGTTAAATAAATAACCTTTCACTTTGAAAATGGCTACAGAAATTCGGAGATCTAGTTTCTTATGCCATATCATAGCTCAGGAGGTTAGTCAGCTGCTTCCAAACTCGGCGGCTTGGGATCGATCCCAGGTCAGCTTATGGGGGATTTCTTGTGTAAAAAATTGCATTGGGGCAGGTTTTCTCACAGTACTTGAGCTTCCTTTGCCAATTCTCATTCCACCAAATGTTCTATATACATTAATCATCCCATCATCGACCCTGTGTAGTTTAGGCTCGATACTGACACAGTCGTTGAACAATAAATTTGAATTAAACACATTACTTTTCTGACTCAGTTGTTTTACGGAACAGTGCAGTGTGCATACAGCATTTTCGTCATGGTTTGTAGCATTGAAGTGGATTAGTCTCGCTCTACCCAATGTTGCTACATTTTATTCCATCTTTTACAGGTTTGTGCCGGTCACAGTGGCTGCACGGTCTAAGGCATGAACAGTCTTCGCCCGCTCGAACGCTGGGGTCATGGGTTCGAATCCCACTCAAGGCATCAATGTCTGTATGCGTTTATTCTGTGTTTGTGTTGTTCTGTGTAGAGATAGATGATTTAGGATGGGCTGATCCGCCGCCCAAGAAGCCCTATCGACTCTGTATAGGATTAAGAAAACGAAAAATCTGCCAAGGCCCAACAAAGGGCTGTAGAGCCAAAATATAGAAATTTGTTCAGGAAAGAACTTTCTCGCACGAATTTTGTCATTTAATCATTTGTACACAATGACGAACAGAATATTTCAGGAAAGAGCTAGAACTTTACAATATCAATAGTAATTTCTGGAATAATTCAGCACCAAAACGACACAAAAGCACAATGTAGAGCGATATATAGACTATGCTCTGGATGGGATTCGAATTGTCAATCGAGAGAACCTTGGAATATACAGGCATAGCGTCTGTGCAGTTCTAGTAGTAATAATCACGATAACTGAGTGACGGAGATTGAACTCGGGTAATGCTTGCTACCATTCAGTCCAGAACCTTTTGTCTTCTCGTCTGTTGTCCAAAAACATAAAAATTAGAATATACAAAACTATAATTTTGCCTGTGGTTCTGTATGGGTGTGAAACTTTGTCTCTGACTTTAAGGGAGAACATAGACTGGGGCTCTTCGAGAACAGGGTGTTGAGAATATTTGGACCGAAGAGAGATGAAGTGACAGGAGGTTGGAGAAAACTGCATAATGAGGAGCGTCATAACTTGTACTCTTCTCCAAGTATAATTAGAATGATCAAATCAAGGAGGATGAGGTGGGCGGGGCATGTAGCACGAATGGGTGAGACGAGGAATGCGTATAGGATATTGTTGGGGAAGCCAGAAGGAACTCTTTCCTTCCACAGGGAAGACCAAGGCGTAGGTGGGTGGACAATATTAAATGGATCTTAGAGAGATAGGATGGGATGGTATGGATTGGTCTGGCTCAGGATAGGGACCAGTGGAGGGTTCTTGTGAACACGGTAATGAACCTTCGGGTTCCATAAAATGCTGGGAGATTGTTGAGTAGCTGCAGACTTGGCGGCTTCTCAAGAAGGGCTCAGCTCCATGAGTAAGTAAGTGAGTGAGTGGCGAATTGGAAAGGTAAGGATCTGGACTTCAGGGAGCACAGCGATGTTTATTTTACAAGTAATCATCAAGTTAAAAATATTTATGGGGGTGCTTCTATCCTCCTGGGACCATTTGCCAGGAACATACGCCTATCTGTTGGGAACAGAAATGATCACCCACTTCCATCTAGTTCTGCTGTTAATGTCTTTGCTCTGGTTCTTATTTTCTCATATATACTCGTACAGTGAGTGGCACTTGGCAGCGCGGTTGAGGCACTATGATATAAGCCGGAAGGTCGCGAGTTCGATTCCCGATATGGTCATTGGATTTTTCAAATAACCTAATCCTTCCAGCCCCACTATGGCCCTGGAGTCGACTCAGCCTCTAAAAAAATGAGTACCAGGAATCTTCCTGTGGGCTCAGGGCCACAGGAGCTTAAGGCTAACCTCGGCGCCATCTGTGAGCCGATTGTCTAGAGCAGGCGTGTCAAACTCAACTTGTACAGAGGGCCACCTCAGCCCTATAAATAATAGTCCAGGGCCGCACTTAAAAATAGAAATATATATTAGATTTTGATACAAGGAAATTTAATTCTATTCATTATTTAGGAATAATTTCAATATAATTACCTAAAGTGGAACACTTATATTTTGCCCACAAATCAAACATATAATTTTACCTTCTATTTCACAACAGAAATAAGCGATTTCCCATTTTTCTTGAAAAACACGGCGCTCACTTTCAATAGTTCTTTTTTTGCTACTTGAATTTTTTGAAAGCGACATTGCCCTTTAAAAGTTACTGTACATATACAAGAAAACTCGTAGTTGATAATTTAATGTTTAATTATAACCTTTATACGTTCATCACAATGTAACATCAGCACCTGTCGCTGTGTGAAAATAAACTGAATGACAATGTACAAGAGACTACCGGATTAGTAGGAAGGTGTATTTTGTCTCAATATTCATAAAAGTGAAGGTTTTCTAGCAGCCCATTAGACAATGGCTGGGGGTTGCAAGCTAGTTTTGAAGGTAGAAATCCCTTGCACTTGTGTGTCAGTTGCCACCCTCCTTCCATTCTTACTACGCCTCCAAAAGTGATTCTTGGAAATATTTGGGGTGGTGAGGCTGTGCGGATTTTAGTGCCTTAACCTTCTGAAATAAAATAGTTTGTTCTTCACGAACTTTACAAACCGTTAGTTGGACAAACCCTTCTGCAATTCTCAGAATCACTTTTCCTGCAGCCTGCTAATTTATGTCTGCGTGAGACTTCTTGTCTTCTGGTCTGTTGGAAAATTGTCTTTACAAAAAATATTTCTACTAAAATGTTAGTATTGATTTTAATATCAATTAGCTCTAAAAGTTGAGGGGCCGCACTTTGTGGCTATGGGGGCCGCATGTTTGACACGGCTGGTCTAGAGAATGTGGAAGCCCCAACGTCTCACAACCCTGTGGGCCTCCACGGACCCTTACAGGGATAGCTTTACCTTTTATCATGTTGTCGCGTGTTTGCTAGGCAACGCGACAAGAAATTTGTGCGGGTTCTCGGATTTGAATGAATATTTATTGGACAGTCCCTTTTACACTCACAAGTACAGTTGTTCCACTTATAACACATCAAACGTTTCCTCTTCACTATTGCAATTACTCACACCGCTGATCTTGTTGAAGTGTCTTCTGCTTGGAGCTCAACTGTCCTTATAGGATAAGAACTCACTCCTGCAAAAGTCGAATACAAACTCTTCTGTTATAGTGGGATAAGAACTCTGCTGGTCTCTTGCCGAATAGAAAGTGTTATATCATGCAGTCGGATTGAATAGGAAACACCTTGTCTAAGGGTTAAATTCGCCCGCTGGTATACGAACGCTGTTTAAAACAGTTGGTTGTTTGGATATTGCTAGCTGTTGTATAGCAATGGATGCGTTCTGATTGCTAGTCGTTGTCGCGGTAACGTTGGTCGTTGCCTAGGAAATCAACCTTGACCTCACTAGTATTCCGGCTTTCTCGCGGCACGCCACAATATTTACAGTACGTAGCGTATTTGTGGGAATATTCTGATCGTGGCAAATAAAACGATCTCCACATTTTCACGAATTTACATGTCTTAACACCTTGATTACTAAAACGTGATCTTTATGGTACATTGTCTGTTTCTGTCACTATGTATGCATTTTACGTATAGATTGAACATCGCTAGCGTCTGAAATGTTGAACGAAATTTGTTCCTATTCGCAATTCAAGAACTTTTTCATCCTATGTTGGTATCCGATGAATCTGAACATTCAAGCTCCAAAATTAGGGGCCCTTCAAATGGGCCCAAAATATAAACCGGCAATTTTTTTAGAAAAGGACTCGAAATCACATTGTTGAAACTCAGTAAGTTTAACCTCCTAAATTCTGAAGAAGTTTTAGGCGTCTCATTAAAAAATTCTACAGGTTGGACGACGGTAATCAAAATCAACGAAATCCCAGCAGTCCAAACTGACATACAGTACCGACATTAAAAGCAAATCCTTACCTCCGAAAATTACAAATTTGTATTTTACTTCCTTTCAATAAAAGTGAATTCTTGTGAAATATGATATTATGGCGATGTGTTAATGGATCTGTGTGGTGAAAATGTACCCCGGTTACAGCTCACCCAGAAACCAATGTGTTGTCAAATTTCCGCTGGTTCTGGATGCATTGTTGTATTATTTATATACAAAATATGCCCATACATTTTTGAATAATTAATTCTACTATTTTTTTTAATCCAGCAACCTGAACGATTCGATAGTTCAGTACACCAGAGCTTTAATTATTTTGGTTTATAGAGGTTTTACTGTATTTCCTACAGGTTTGAATACGATTATTATATCAGATACCAACGAAATTAAATTCATCGTTTTATTTCCGTTATCTTAAAGGGAGTAGAGACATTTTTCTGATTTCGGCAAAGAAAATACAACGAGGAGAGAACTTGGCAAAACTTTAACCTTTCACAGCGGTAGATATTAAATTCAAATTTTCTGGTTGTGAAGGCGACTCATTCAAGAAGAGCAAAGTCTCAACAAAACAGCTTACTGCTTTTTTGTCCTTAATCCTCAGTTTCTTAACAACGGGGCTCAGAAGAGGCACTATATGGGATACAAGGATTAAACAGTCGACAAGTTTTCGAGAACTGAACGTACCTGAAATTGGTGTAGATGTCCTTGCGCCAGCATCCAGTGCCGAGCACGCCACAAGTGGCAGAAGACACAGCCACAGCACGGCTGTTGTCATGGTTACCGTGCCACATTGAGTGGACGGATGCTCATTCACTCACTTATATACGCTGAGCAGAATACTAATGAGTGGCTCAGAAGGGCAGGTAGGGACGTCCAGTTGGCGAGCAGGTCTGGACCTCCTGAATGCAACAGCGACATACACTGATTCTCAGAACTTATCTCAAATCTGATTAGCAGATTTACAGGAAAATGTTCAGTGTCGAACAGCTGGTTATGTAATGGATTTCAAAGATGTCTGTGATTTCCACAAGCACTGGATTTAAAGATGTGTAGTTCATTCTTCTCCTGATCACGACGTTCTGACCGGCTGTGGGCACTAGCCTTCTAAACAAGGTGTTACGAAGTAAAGCGACATGAGCGTGAGACTGACCACTCTAGTTTATCGAATGCCAAGGTTAAGAATGTGTGTAGTTCTTTTTCTCTCCTCCCAGTAACTATCTTTTCGTCACGATACTTGGACCCAGCGGCAACTTGACATTACCGTGGAGGTATTTTTGTCGAAAGGTGACTGATATATTCATCCGATTCTGCTGCTTTTGAGCCCTGCTTTGAAACATCCTAATCCAATTCACTTTACCACAGTCTCTTCTTCTAACATAATTTTTAATGTTATCTTTTGTAGACGAGATTGGAGCTTGTTTAGAGGCGCATCAGCTTCGTTGGAATATTGTCATTGATTCTCTTAAAATTTAACCTCGGAGTCCAGGTCGCGGAAGATAGGACGCTGGCAGTAGACATTGGTCTCTTTGGGCTTCGCTGCTGTAGCTGAGAAGGCCAATCCGGCAGAAATATAACTGACTAATGAAGCAACGATTTCGTACTCCGAGTTCGGGGGGTTGGAATGTGTGAAGCTGAAGTGGAAATTTTCTAAGCTGTTTGCTATTCTGATTTGGGGTGTCATGAACCGTAGATGCCGTTTGCAGCCGTTACATTGTTAACTAAATAATAGAGAAAATTATTGATTACTTTTCTCACTGACCGATAGCTCATTTAGTGAGCTATAGTGCACGGCCGACTGGACAGCGAAGTTCAAACGTAAGAAATCTCTGAACTACCAGAGCTAGAGTAATCAGACCCAGGTAAAAGCTAAAGCTGTCCCTGTGCTTAACTAATTAAGCACTACACCATGAAGACGTATGGGGGAGTGAATGTATAGACCCACGTTTTCTTAACCTCGGCACTAGTTGGAGGTGAGTTGTCATCTTCACACTCCGGCCGCTTTACCCCTGGTACCCAATGGATGGAAGGCTGGGTGGGCCCCAGAGCCGGTCTGGACGACGTGGGGAACAGATTTCTTTATTCTACCGGGACTCGAACTCCGACCTCTCAGTCGTACTGACAGTAGCCAGTCGCTATACCAATTACGCTAGTATATTCTTAAGTTTATGAAGAGGTTTTCCTTAAAAACAACTGTAATTTCTTGTGTAAAGTAAAGAGGAAAATGGGACTGTCTTGATTATAACAGGAATCAGTAATGAACAGTACGGAACGAATAGAAAAGGGACGTATTATTTTACGTTTTGTGCAAAGCACAAAACACGATGAGTTGGTGAGGAAATTTGTCCTGATAATGGGGGTTTGTAGTAACAATAGCCACATTTCTTAAGGACAAAGGGGCGAGTGAACCAGTAAATAAAGCAGTACTGGCAAGCCATAATGAATATACGAGTATTATCCTTGTCGGATTGACTCTGCCTATCGAATAAATAAACAACCAATATAAAAATACATCATTTTCCTCAATTGTCGAGGTCTTATACTGAAAAAACTAAAACATACTTTTCAGGTAGATTGAGGTGTTATGACGGACACTAAAAAACTTCTACAGCATAGTCAATTATATTTTACATAATAAGTGGGATATTTTTATACGTGTGCAGACAAGTGGGAGAAAGTTTCATTGAACTATTATAGATAAAACAAACCCCATTATTTTTGCATATATTCGAGAAAACATTGTTGATTTTTTGTATTTTTTGCCTCTCTTTTGCAGACAGTTATAAATTAACGAATATTTAAATCAGGTAATGTACATAAAATATAATGATTCATTTTCAATTATCTGATCTGATTAATAATCTGAAGGGCACCCATTTAGCCTTAGTATCCAGCTGCTCAGTTTAGAAGGTGCAGTACAGCCTGATGTACTTTCTCACGGCCTTGTAGCGTACCATTTTTGTGCGGGCCTTGAATGTAGGCTTTTGTCAAACGTCATACAACGGTACTTTACGTTCCATACATAGTCGAGCGCCTGTCCGTGTAGCGGAATTCGATTATTTGGTTATTTCATTTCAATTGAGAGCATTTTGCTCTATGCACCTTGACATCAATGGCAGAGGAAGCGGTGGAGTTGGGTGCGCTGGAGAGATGCGAGCAGACGGGAGAGTTGGTGGCACGAATGACCAGAGGGAGGACAGATGAGCCTGGAGAACAGGCTGGAAGGGGAACTCAGTCACATGGATGTCAGCGTCCTGAAAAGGCAATGCATAACGAGCCTAATAGCCTGGACAGGGAATGCTACCACAAGAATTCTGTGAAGAATACTTCTACCTTACTAAGTTTCCGTTACTTGCTTCGGTGGAAGCTATCCTTACTTGGGATGCAGCTAGTCTCAGCCGCCTCTCGTCTTGACTATCCGGAGAAGTTAGTCGTAGCGAGGTGCATCATCAGCTCGGTGTTTCGCATCCAGTTTCAAAGCATCAGGAAAGTATCACAATTATCGTCCAACCTCTCTTCCCCTCAGGTAGAAAGCCCAAGAAGGCACGAGTCTCGCTGTACATCACAGTCTGGTAACGAACTCAGACACGAGTCGGCCGATGAAGGCAGTCGAAATCGTCGAAATGTATCCTGAGCCATGTGTGCGGTTCCTTCTGCTTGCCACTTCCTTCTTGCTTACACTTCGAGTCACAAGATGAAGGCAATACGTTCTTCAGAAAGGTCGATAAAATCGTATCACACTACACGGTGATACATCTCTGAAGATAGTTATGTTCAAACGATAGATAGATAGATAGATAGACAGACAGACAGACAGACAGATAGACAGACAGACATACAGATAGATAGATGGATAGATAGATAGACCGATAGATAGAGCAACAAAAACTTATGGCTTATTATTTGATGACTTATTCTAACAGGGCTATTTGTCCAAACCAGCAATTATTATCGTTCAAAGTCTATTATCTTTGCGGATTACCTACAACAAAGACCATCTAAGGAGTTCACTATTTTAAGAACAATTACATGACTATACTTAACAGAATTTGGGCACGCGGTAGTGTAGTTGGTTGAGGGGCTATGCTACAAGCCGGAAGGTCGCGGGTACAAGTCCCGATGAGGTCATTGAATTTTTTTCAGTTGACCTAATCCTTCCAGCCGCACTATGGCCCTGGGGTTCACTCAGCCTCTAACAGAAATGAGTACCAGGAATTAATTAAATAACTCCTGGGGAGTAAAGGGCGGCCGGCGCGTAAGGCTGACAACCTTACCGCCATCTTTGAGCCGATTGTCTAGATAAAGTGGGACCCTCAACGTCTCACAACACTATGGGCCTTCACGGCCTGTTACAGGGATAGCTTTACTTTTTTTTACTTTATACTTAACAGAATTACTGGTCATGTGATGTCTGAATTGGACGCACAGGGTCATGGACTTCGGAGAGAGTTGTTTTTCCCCGATTATTGTAGCGGACCTCAGGATCACACAGCAATCAAATTAGAACCTCAGTGGTCCCGCTTATTTACATCAATGTGTCAAATTAAAAGTAAACTATGACGTAACCATAGACCTACGCGGTGACTGATCAGCCAGTTGTGCTTGTATGAGGTTTGTAACAGTGTCACAAAGCAGAAGCATCAGGAGATCCCAGATAGGTTCTTCGCACGGAGGTCGAATATTGTAAATAAGAATCTTCAGAATTTGCTCGAGTCCTTGACGTAAATGTTAGCACATAATATTAAAATGGGCCATAATTATTTTTGCATGCTTCCCAAGTCAATACGCACGTCTATCCTTTCATTTCGGTCGACAGGCTGTGACCTGCACTGGCCTGCGTCACGTGATGGGCAGCTGTGGAGAAGCTTGCAACTTATTGTATAAATCTTCCAAAAGGGGAAGTGTGTTGCACCTTGTGTTCTCCCAACAAAACATTTTCCAAAACAATGTTTTCCCACAGATTATCTTACAAAGTACGCTTAATGAATAATAAGTCATTTCCTTTACAAAATGCTACATACATAGTGAATAATAAGTCATTTTCTTGAAAGAAGTCGAATATTGTCCTGTGTATCAGTGACTAAGGACGGGTTCGGATTTGTAATTGGATTTATTAACCACTTACAGGTCGTAACTACAATTAATTATTACACTATTGCTGATTTGCACTATTTACAATCACTCCTCTACACTAATCTTCTCACTCTATTTCCACTAATCTTCACTATCCGTTTCCTGGCAACGGATTTATAACACAGGAACTATGCAAGTCTCACTAAATTACACACTCCCAATATCGATGTACTACAGCACATGTGACGTCACACTAAGTCTTCTAATTCTTCTTCTGTCCACACTGCTGTTCCCTTGGAACTTCAGAACTCAAGTGAAGTCCATATATTGCTCCTCCAGCCTACGACTGTCCGCAAACGACCTTTGCTCTCCCCCACAAACCTTCAGCGCGGACCTACAGAAAACACGTCACGTGGTCTCTATCCACTTTTGTGTGACGTCACTGTTTCCGCGGAAGTATTTGTCGAGCGTTTGCCTGGCAATACGTTGACATGTCACAATATTCGAACCCGAAGCTCTCAATTGATGGAACACCCAAATATAGCTGCTCGACATTGGGCACAGGTTAAGCTCAGTAGGCAGAAATACCGCGTGCTTTATGGTCATCAATGAACAATAAAGCAAGTGCAAGGAAATGTTACGAATATTTTTCAGATCTCGCGGGGATGCCAAAATGATTTTAATAACACTAAGCTGTCTGCGGCCATTAAGTTGGCAATCCGTGTTCAATGCATGTA